GAGAGAGGGCGTCACTGATGAAGAGAGGTCAGGGCAGCCAGTAACGAGCAGAACTGATGAAAAGATTGCAAAATTGTCAAATTGTGCAACAAAATCGTCGGCTGACTGTGAGAAGCATAGCAGACCAAGTAAACATCAATAGAGAAATAGTTAGGAAAATCTTAACTGAAAATCTTGGCATGAGAAAGTTGTGTACAGAAATGGTACTGATGTAGCCCACCAATGAACAAAAGCAAAGTGGAATTGAAGTTTGCCAAAACCCTTCAGAGAGGCAAAACGATGTTTTGGGCCATGTTATCACTAGTGATGAAACATGGGTGCACCAATATGATCCTGAAACAAAGCATCAAAGTGCATAGTGGAAGTAAACCAATTCTCCACAGTCAAGAAAGTTCCATCAGTCCAAACCAAGAGTCGAAACGATGTATCAAAAGAGGTTATTTTTTGATATCAGAGGGATTATTGCATTATGAATTTGTACCAACTGGGCAGTTAACCAAGTTTACTATTTGGAAGTGCTGAAAAGGCTGTGTGAAAAAGTTAGACAAAAACGACCTGAACTTTTCACCAACAATTCATGGCTCTTGCATCAATGCACCAGCTCATACAGCACTGTCTGTGAGGGTGTTTTTAGTCAGTAAACAAATAACTGTATTGAAACAACCTCCCTACTCACCTGATCTGGTCCCCAATGACTTCTTTCTTTACCCGAAGATAAAGGAAATATTGAAAGGAAGACATTTTGATGACACTCAGGACATCAAGGGTAATATGATGACAGCTCTGATGGCCAATTCAGAAAACGAGTTCCAAAATTGCTTTGAAGGGTGAACTAGGTGTTGGCATTGGGGGATAGCTTCCCAAGGGGAGTACTTCGAAGGTGACCTCAGTGATATTCAGCAATGAGGTATGTAGCACTTTTTCTTAGGATGAATTCGCAAACTTAACTGTCAGATCTTGTATAAGTGATATCACACAGTGATTTTCTCTGACTTATCTCACTTAACACAAGGTCCTCAAGATCCCTCTATGTTGTCACAAACATAGAAATTCCTTCTTTCTCATGTCTTAATAATATTCCATTATATGTATATGTATGTGTGTGTGTGTATGTGTATGTGTACACACATCTTTTCCACTGCTGACAGGCACTTAGGTTATTTCCACGTCTTGGCTATCATGAATAATGCTGCAAGAAACATATACCTCTTCCATATTCTGTTTTTATTTCCTTTGGGTATATAGGCAGAAGTGGACTTGCTGGATCTTATGGTCATTTTATTTTAATTTTTTGAAAAACTTCCATACTGTTTTCCATAGTGGCTGCATCAATTTACATTCCCACCAACAATATATAAAGGTTCTCTTTTCTTTTTTTTCTTTTTCTTTTTTTTTGTTTGTTTAAGATTTTATTGGGGTATTGAGGGAGAAGAACAGTATTGGAGAATTGGGGAAGGGGACCAGCCAAGTTGTTGTTCTTCAATCTTCATTGTGGAGGGCACCAGTCGCCATCTGGCTGCCCATCAGCAGCTCGTGGCCTATAAGTTCAAGGTGCTGTGTTCAATCTTAGTTGCAGGTAGGCGTAGCCACCATCCCATGTGGGAGTCGAACCAGCAGCCTTGTTGTTAAGAGCACAAGCTCTATCCATTGAGCCATCCGGGCAGCAGCTCAGCTCAAGGTGCAGAGTTCAGTCTTACTTGCGGGTGGGCATAGCCCACCATCAAACAGGCAATCTTGTTGTTACACCAGCTGAGCCATCCTGCCACCTGTTGGCAGCTCAGCGACAGCTCAGCGCAGGCACAGAGCCACTGGCCCATGTGTGAATCTAATCGGTGGCCCTGTTGCTCAGAGCTCTCGCTCCTTAGCCAACTCTGAACCAACTAAGCCACTGGGCTGGCCTGAGGCTTCTCTTTTCTTATCAACTGTTATCTTTTGTCTTCTTGATGATAATAGGCATTCTAGCAGGGTGAGGTGATATCTCACTGTGGTTTTCATTTGCAGTTCCCTAATGATTCATGATGTCGAGCATTCATGTTAATGATGTTAATGATTCATAACATTGTTCCTATTATCCATTTGGATGTCCTCTTTGAAAAAAATGTCTATTTAGTTTTTTTAATCATTGTTGTTGTTGTTAAGCTGCATGAGTTCTTTATATATTTTGGATATTAACTCCTTATCTGACATACGGTTTGCAAATATTTTCTCCCATTCTCTAAGTTGCCATTTCATTTTGTTAATTGTTTCCTTTGTTGTGCAGAAGCATTTGGTTTGATGTAGTCCCGTGTGTTGGTTTTGTTTTTGTTGTTTTTTGTGATTTTGGTTTTGTTGCTTTCTGTTGTTGCCGTTTTTTAATTGTTGTGGGCTAAGTCTGTGCTGAGATAAGCCAAAGGTATAAATTTAAGATCTCAGGTCTTTTCTGAGCCTGTGCCTTTCCCTGAGCATGCATGTTCACTTTCTAATTTCCCCCAAATACATGGTTGCTTCTGAATGTCCTCATCTTTAATATGGTTCACAAAAGAGGGATAAGAAAAATGAAGGGGGTTGGGGGTGGGGGGCAGTGTTTTAAATCACTTTGAAGTCATATTAGCCAGAGGGGGATGGGCTTGCAATGATGGGAAATAGGTACAAAAACAGTGGCCTCTGCCTCTTTGCACCTCTGTGATCAGAAGCAGCAATCAAAGCACAGGTCCCCAATATTTTATGGGGAGAGCTCTTTTGTCCAATTTGGCTATGTGGAAGCTGCTCCAAGAATAAGTTCACAGCTGCCTACTTCGGGGCTAAGGCAAGAAATGGGTAGCTGTTAGTGTGCTCAGAGCCTAAATCTATCAAAATTAAGCACAATTTACTACCCAAGCCTTACCCTGGGAGTTGCAAATCTCCAAAAGAGTCCAGATTTCCAAAACAGTTACATCAGACAGATTTTTCCAGTGCAACTATTGTCTAGGTGGGAAGACAGATTTCTGGTGCTCCCTACACTGGTATCTTCCCAGGATCCTCTGGGCAGTTGATTTTTGGCAAAGGTACCAAGTGAATTAAATAGGAAAAAGACAACTTTTAAATAAACATTTCTGGAACAATTGGGTAGTCATATGCAAAGAAATCACCCTCAAACTTTATCTCACATCATACCCAAAATTAACTGAAAATAGACTATAAATTTAAAAATTAAGAGTTAAAAATATAGGGCAGCTGGACGGCTCAGTTGGTTAGCGCATGTGCTCTTAACAACAAGGTTGCTGGTTTGACTCCCACATGGGATGGTGGGCTGCACCCCCCCCCCACGCCCACCCCGCAACTAGATTGAAAGCGGTGACTGGACTTGGAACAGAGATTGCGCCCTCCACAACTAAGATGGAAAGACAACAACTTGACTTGGAGCTGATGGATCCTAGAAAGACACAATGTTCCCCTTCCCTAGTTCCCCAACACTGTTCCCTTCCCCAATTCCCCAGTAAAATCTTTAAAAAAAAAAAAGTTAAAAATATAAACCTAAAAGAAAGTATAGACAGGGCTGGCCGAGTGGCGCATTGGTTAAGAACTGGCTTGGAATGCCAGAGGTCCCCAGTTCAGATCCCACATATGAGGGCCAGTGACATTGCCCTCTACAGCTAAGATGCTGAACAACAGCTCAACCTGGAGCTGGGCTTCCGTGAGTCGCCGGCGACGGCATAGGCTGCAGTCCCCTGCTGCAGTGGGTTGCCATAAGCTACCACATGTAGCCGGCAGCCAGCGTGAGCGGCCAGCAGCCGCCGTGAGCGGCCGTCCAGAGGCCGGCGACTGATCTGCCTCGCCTAAAGAGCACAATGATGGTGCCAGCTTGGGCCAGTGAAGCAACATCCTCCACAACTAGACTGAAGAACAAAACAACAGCAACTTGTCTGTTCCCCTTCTCCCAATTCCCCAGCGCTGTTCCCTCCCCCAATTCCCCAATAAAATCTTTTAAAAAAAGAGAAAATATAGACCAAAAAATCATCACAACCTGGATTTAGCAGATTTCTCATATACAATATAAAAATCATGAACGATGAAAGAGAAAAATTACTTTATCAACATTTAAAAGTTTTGCTCTTTAAAAGACACTTAATAAAATGAAAAAGTAAAAAAAGTGACTGTGAGAAAAATGTTGCTAAACATATATTAGGCAAAAAACTTGTATCTAGAATATAAAAAGACTTCCTACAACTCAAAAACAAAACCAAGTATCTTTAATGCATAAAATATCTGAAAGACACTTCACCAGAAGCGATGTGTGACACAGAGCATTGTCATGATGGAGGATGAAACCATTTGCCCATTTCATGCTAATGCGTTGTTTGTGATCCATGATTTACGGCACACTTTAAAACACACCTTCTCTCAACCAAGGCTCACTCCTGACTGACTGCATCAAACAAGTTGACACTTGTCACACACTGTTACTAAGGTTCGATGTGCCGCTTCCCATATTGAAGATCCCTGCCTTTCCACTGGATGGCACTCAGCAGCAGCATTCAGCAGTATTTTGTGATCACAACGGAAAGCTCCGTGTTACACATCACTTCTGGTATAGCAATTTCTATCAAATAAAAACATTACGGTGTGTCCTCATCCACCTTATTCATCGGATCTGGCACTGTGCAACTTCTGGCTCTTCCCAAAAGTCAAAATGACCATGCAAGGCAAACGTTTTGAATGAATTCAGAACATTGAGGCAGCCATGACAGTGCAACTAAGACACTCATGAAAGAGGGCTTCCAGAGCTGCTTCAGAAAGTGGCAAGAATGATGAGGAAGTGTGTTTGAAGCAAGGAAGAGTATTTTGAGGGAGATTAATGGCAATGTGTCCTTTACTGTAATAAATTTTTGTTTTATTTAAACATTCACCATATTTTGTGATCACACCTCATATTATCGATAGATACTATTTCCCCATGATTAAAGACACTCTCCTATGTATACTGCTTCTAACATAAATATCAAAGCACTGGCTATGGTAATGGTAAAGAAGATCATACATACCCTCTTCAGAGAAGAATTTTTCTATGAGTCCCACAAACTGATTGATTTCATTAAGTTCATCTTGGCTAACTTCGGGAAATGGGAAAACTTGTTTCTAAAAATGATAAACATTTAGTAAAAATTAATTTTTAGCAACTTTCCATAGTGATAATATCAGTGAAAAGGGCAACAGATTTGCTAGAGTCCATATCTGGCAGGCAGGACATTACTCATTGAAGGAATTAGAAAGCAACTTCCAAAAGGTGTTTAAGATACAAGAATTGTATGTTAGACTCCACCACCTAGATACAGCCTTCTCCCCTATTTAAGCAGATTTATTCCTGATCTTAATCAGCTTTCCTTATCAATAATATTATGATGATTTTCCCATGAAACAAAGAGCACTAAACTAAACATTTCAAAGCCCTGAGTTCTGTTCCTTGATTTGCAGCTTCCTAATTGTGTAGCCAAATCTCTTTACCTCTCCACACCTCCATTTTCTCACCAGTAATATTCAGGTAATATTTACTCAAGGTTGTTTTCAGAATCATGGAAGATAACTAGTGTGAAAGCTCATTACTAAAATGTAAAGTTTTACACTTTTTATTTTGTAAGTTCAAAGATGCTACAGCTGACAGAAACATACTGTGTATACAAGTTTCTTGCAAGGTTCCCAGCCAGCTGCATACTCCAGCCTCTGTCCATCCTGCTAGATGACATCTGTTACCTGTGCTAAGCATACAAGGTAAGAGGGTCACTGGAGGAGGCCCAGCTGTTGAGCCAGATCAACCTGAATTCAGCCTTGGCTCTGCCAGTTCTTAGATGTATGACTTGGGTAAGTCCCACAGCCTTTTTCAGTGTCAGTTTCTCTTCTGTTACAGATACCTCAGAAGGCAGCTGTGAGGCTCAAAAGAGGTAATATGTCCTGGAACATAAAGTAACTGTATTTGTGACAGACACTGGCTCTTACCTCCACCTCACACCATGGAAAACAAATTAGCTTCAAATCTCTGTCTCAGTCCAATGAGTGGCCCGTATTTCTGATTGGCACGAGATTCCCCACTGGGCTATCACTGTATACTGCCTAAAATCATCCCACTGTATCCTTGGCCCCTCTGGCTTTTGGGGCTCCAGGTAGCCCTGCCAGCATGACATAAGTATTTGGATTTGGACCCACAGCTGCTGAAAAATGATGTCCCAGATCACAAGCTGCCAGCCCTCAGAAGCCCTCTTTCCTCATGGCACCTCTCATTAAGTGTCTCCAGACAAGGTGTTCAAAGCAGAGGAGTCCTCAATCTTCCCCCTCCAGCTCTTGAACATCTAATCAGTCACCAAAGACTCTCCACTCTAGGATAGGTGGGTCCCTATCCAAAAGTGATAGCTGACTTAAAGAAATTCCTGCCTCCAGGCCATTCCTGACCCTGCCCTCAAAACTGTCTAGGAGGAAAATATGCTAAGACTCTAATCACTCTGCAGCCTCTCAGAACAAAGCCAACTCCTTAGTTGAATATACAGAGGCTCGACCCATTGCACTGGCCTTCACAACCCCATGGGTTCACCTGGGCCTTGTGCAATGAGCTGTGTTAGACAAAGATCATAAGATTATCCTGGACCAGTGAGCACTCCAGACGAGAAAAGAGAACAGCCTGGGAACTAGATGGCCTTCAAGCACAACCAAAGGCTAACTGCTGCAGGGACAGAGGTCTCCATGCATGGAAGAACAAATCTCTGTTATCAGTGTTCATAAACTGAGTGGGGTGCCTCATAGGTGCTGGGTTCAATTCCCATCAGCACTTCCAAATTTTTTAAAGCAGTGAAACACGTTTTTTAGTTAAACCTAGTGCAGACAGCAAATATGTAAAACAAATAAAAGTCAAGCTGCTCTGGTTGAGACTGCAGAGAGGGAGAAAGATCACCCAAATGTCTCCCACTCAGCTTCCCACTGGTCCCAGCAGTAACCACAGGGGCACTTCCATGAATAGCGACGGTCCACTTGAGAGCAGTTTGACAACTACTGGTCTAGATGATCTTGAAGGTCTCTTTCTATTCTGAGATTCTAGGCATCTCAGATGCCACGTTCCTGCTCAAACTCCAATAATGCTGTGCGAGATGACGTTGACCTGAACCAGGGCAATAGTGGTACAGGTGCTTAAAAGCAGTCAGATTCTAAATATAAGGTAGAGAAAACAGGAAGTGCTGTCAGATTAGCTGTGGATTATGAGAATAAGAGGCATCAAAAGTAACTCAAGGTATTTGGCCTGAACAAGTTGAATAATAGATTCACCACCATTTACGATAAAGAAGGCTGGTGGAAGGAGTGGGGTTGGGTGGGGAGACCAGAAACTCAGTTTTGAATATGCTAAATTTGAGATGCCTATTAGACACCTAAGTGAAGCTTTTGTTAGAAAGGTAGATATAAAAGGAGTCTGGAGTTCAAGGGAGAAATCTGAGCTGGAGAAATAAATTTGAGACATCAGGATATTAATGGTATTTAAAGCCACAGTACTAAATTAGATCATCCAAGGTGGGGTTGTAGAAGTGTACAGATTGAGCCTCAGAAAACTCCAGCTCCGACTGGGCTAGTTGAAAATGTTGGCCAATGTTTAGAGGTCAAGGAGTCAAGAAAGGAAAAGCAAAAGGAGTCTAGAAATGATCAGTCAGTGATAGAAAAACTACAAGAGAATGGTTTTTTAGAAGCCATAAGTGATGAACTGTGTTAGATGCCAATGATGGGTCAAGTAAGATGAGGCCAGAGAACAGACCTCTCTAGATGTGAGGACATGAAGGTCACCACTGACTTTCATAAGAGCATGTAGCAGATTGTTAAAGACAAAAGCCTAAATGGTATGAGGTCAAATGCAGCAGAAAAGGACAACTGATGGTGTAGATAAGAAAGGACAGAATTACTGAGTTTGCCTTTTCTGTGAGCAGATGGTTCATCCACAGTAAGAGAATGCAGACCATACCACACAGGTGCAGGAAGGAGCGGCTAAGTGTCATGGTGAATATTGTCATCTGACTGCATGTATTTTTCTCAGGGAAAGAGGAAGCAAAGCTGACAGCTCAGAGTGAAGATGGGGAAAGCAGGTGCCAGAGGTTTGGAAAAAAGAGAAGCATGAAAGACTTCTTTCTTCACTGTGCTGCGGAGGGGCATGAGGTCCCAGGATAGGGCACCACACAGCCTCAGGCTGTGGGGAAAATGGTTTCCTAAATCTTAAAAGACAGAGCTTTGTACTTCCTACCAGGACAAACCACTTTTAGTCTGAGTCTCTGCTTCTGCATCTGTAATGCCTGACAACCTTACAGGAATGTTCTAACGAGAAACCAGGGAACAACTCCTTAAGTGATACACCATCAGCCAACATTTCAGCTAAGCTCAAAGCACTTTACACATTTTTTTCCTTTGGTTTGCAAGGCACCTTTGGAAGGGGGTGAGTACTGTTTTATTCCAATTTTATAGATTAGCACACTAAGGCACAGAGAGGTAAAGTGACTAGTCCGAAGTCACAAAACTAGTAAGTGTTGCAGCCAGCATTTTACTACCTATTCTGCTGCCTTTTATATCTGCACAGTACCTTACAGTCTAAAAACCATTTCCACACACTATATATCTCATTGGGGCTTTACAACACATCTGCGAGACAGAATATATCACTAGCTCCTTTTTAAGGCTAAAAGAATTGAGGCTCAGTCACAGAGCCAAGGTTAAATCCAAGTCTTCCTACTGTAAGAGGATGCTGAATGCTTAATAATCAAGCTGCTATACTATTGGGTAAGCTCTGGATTACTACTGGGTAGTGCGACCCGTGGAAGGGATGCGGTGGGGAAGGCACCTTGGAGCCAGACTGCAGAAAAACCTGAATGGCAGGGTGAGGTGCTGGGACTCAGCTGTGGACGCCCAAGGTCTGCTAGAAGCTGACAGAGGAGTGGCATGGTCCGAGTTGTGTTTAGGACTCAGAGAGGAAGCCCCACACATTTGAGGGCCAGATCGCTGAGTTGAGGGTCGCATCGCCTGGCTTAGTGTTTCCCAAACTGACCGGACAAGAATTAACTGGAACAGTTGTCAAAACCATAAATTCTCATGGTCCCCTGCCCTGGAAAGACTCTATTCTTTCCCTGGAAAAATTTACATGATCTAGTGGGACTCGGGAATCTGGAGTTTTAGCACGCCCTGCCCCTCACGTGTATTTGTCAAGCAGGTGTGCGGACACGGACAAAGCTCGATCCCAGCTTTCCCTGATCAGGGCAAAAAGCAAGAGGCAGAGAGTCAGGGTCCGCCCAGGCTCATCATTACCTTCTCGATTTTGCCCAGGAAGAGCTCCTTGGCGAAAGCTCGGCTCATCTGACTGGTGCTCAGCCGGCGCGGGCTCGCGGTCGAGGCCACCGAAGCCCAGCAGGAACTCGCCGCCGCCGCAGCCCTTCGCAAGAGCCCGCTGCAACTCATATTGTCGGAAATTCCCCACACTCTGACCGCCACCACCTTCTTCTCAGCGCCTCAGTCACATGCACCTCGCTCGCGCCCTCTGATGACGTCACTAGCGGGCGCAGCCTCGCCAGTCGCCATTGCACTTGAGCGGCCTCCTGCCGGGGAGATCGGAGGGGCGGGCCCGAAGCCATTTTGATGATTTTACGCTCTGGCTGGCGATAGTGGCGGGGAGGAGGGGTTTGTTTTTTTTGGAGGCACCAGAACGTAAGCGGCGGCCTAGCTACCTCCATTTACTCGCCAATTGGCGCGACAAGAACGTGATAAAAATGAAAAGCAAGGGAATGGGGGAATTGCAGGATATTACCTCTGGAAGGGAACCCACAGTATGGGTGATGTTACGGTTTTAAAGTGGACGGTGGATTCGTGAGAATTCATTATGTTTTGATTATATGTGTATAATAAAAATGTATATACATATTAACAAAGGAAAAAACTGTATTAATTGTAATAATATATACCGATACCAAAAGATGAATACTGGTGACATTTGACTTCTGCAAATACAGGAGGTTCTCAAAGTGGTTACCTTCAGTGTCCAGATGCTTCTGATTATGGCGAACTATGCTTGAGCATAGATAACATCTCTTAAAATGTGTATGCATTTCATTGGCATCCCTGGGTGTGTGTGTGTGTGTGTGTGTGTGTGTGTGTAAAGAAAAGTGATGTTCTGCAGAAGAGAGGTCTGGATAAAACCCTGTGAGTTGCAACTGTACCTAGGAAACACCAATTTAAAAGGGCAGGCAAAGGAAGAGAAGCTACAGAGGGAACCCAGAAGGGGTGGGAACAATAATTGGTGGATAGGTCTAGAAAGACAGTAGGGCCCAGAGAAGAGGACCCAGCATCTCTGACACACCACACAGCCCATCGATGAACCAGGCCAAGTGTGCACTCACTAGTGGTCTTGTCAGCCTCCTCCAGGAATATTTTTTTCTTTCCTTACCTCTTATTGTACTTGTACCCTGCCTGTAGAATTTACCATAGTATTGGGAAATGCTTTCTGCCTTCATTATGACAACTCCTGGAGAACAGGAGTTGAATAAAATCTCATTCATCTCAATGGCGCTAAGCCTGGCCCAATAAATGTTTACTTGTTTGGGTAAAAACTTGACACACATCAGGGGAAAAGAGTTCAAAACTTTATTGGTTGCAATTTACTTGCAAGCATCTTCTGCAATTTCTTTTTTATTTTGTCTCGTCTTTGACTTGCAAAAGTTTATCACCTGGTTTCTTCATCAGTGGTCGATATTTGCCTATTTCAAAATGCAGCTTTGCAAGAAGGCATTTGGAAACTGCTGCCTTTGTGAATTAACCTGGGATGGGGTGGAGGGGGTGGGGGGG